CCCATGCTCTTCTTTAGACAAAGACATTCCAATCTGGCTTGTGTCCAGGAAGTCTCCCAATGCCCTTTAGAAACTCCTCCCACTGACCCATTAACATGGGATGACTGACTAGCTAAACTGCATTTCCCATAATGTTATCAATATTTTGAAAAAAAAAAAAGAGGCACAACCTAGGAAGAAAAGTATCTCTGACTTCCCTAGGGAAAAAGTGATTGCTACAGACTCCCCCACAGTTAAATGTTTTAAAAGTTTTCTAAGGCAGAAGAAACCTCCCTGGAGAAAAGGGAAGTTCTGGAAATTAACCCTTTTGCTCCCCTGGACAGCTGGGCGCTCTCAGAAAGCTTCTGGAAGAAGAAGAAGAAGAAAGAAGAAAGAAAGAAAGAAAGAAAGAAAGAAGAAGAGGAGGAGGAGGAGGAGGAGGAGGAGGAGGAGGAGGAGGAGAAGGAGAAGGAGAAGGAGAAGGAGAAGGAGAAGAAGAAGAAGAAGAAGAAGAAGAAGAAGAAGAAGAAGAAGAAGAAGAAGAAGAAGAAGAAGAAGAAGAAGAAGAAGAAGAAGAAGAAGAAGAAGAAGAAGAAGAAGAAGAAGAAGCAGCAGCAGCTATCTGGGAGCTGGGCAACGATACAAATTTACTGTGGAGGAGTTGCCATTTTAATATGGACAAAAAAAATCTGTCTCCAATTCTTAGACACTAGTTTCTGCATATTTACCTTTTCTGCTTAAAAGAGGCTTCCTCTGGCTGCAACCTGCCTTTTCCTTCATGTGGAATCATTTCTGTGGCTTCGGGATTTCAATATGGCAAGGGGATGTTCTGGAATATCCAAGCTAAACTAAAGAAGCTGGTGAACATGGTGGATTTTATTTTGAAACTTTGGATTTAAAAAACTCTTGGAGAACTACTTATCTAACAGACTCTGCTGAACTATTTCTTATCTTTAAATCAAAGCTTCCTTGAATGACATTTGTTTTGGCTGGAAGGGAGAAATAGTTTTGATTTCATTTCTCACAGCTGTTTGCTCTAGTAGTAGACAAAGAGAAACTGTTCTTATTGTAGTGGTACTGTTTGACCACATGAGGGAGCTAAAGACCGTAGAATTGTGATTTCACTTTTAAAACATCCTCTGTGGATGTTTTAGAATAAAACCTAAATTAATTATAGTTTGAAGAGATGGCTATCTGTAAAAGAACAGAGAAGATACTGGTAGATGTAGAATCTTTTAGATGTTTTCTGGATGAATATATAGCCAAAACACATGAAGCTATACAGGCAATGGGATCTAAGTTTGAATTAAAAATTGATATGTTGGTAAAGAAACTTCATGATGAGATACAAGGTTTGAGAGAAGATATTGAAGGTCAGGGCTGAATTTTTAAAACACAAAGTTAGTAAACAAGATAGTCTTCTAGAAACTGAAGTAAATGAGAGAATTGTCCTGGAAAGAATTTCAGTTACGATTCAGAGCAATTCCTGAACAAACTGGAGAGGATATCAGAGCAAGGATGATTAAAGCTGTGGCTGCATTAATTGATTGTGAGGAAAAAAGGCTCAACCTGGATATAGACAAGACATATTGATTGAATTCGAGATTTGCTGCTATGAGAAAATTGCCAAGGATGTTTTGGTTCACTTTGTAAGAAAAACAAAGTGAAATTACAAATGGAAAATGTAGATATAATTATTTTGAAGGAAATTCCTATAAGAATTTTGCGAAAAAGGAAAGCCTATTCTTTCCTTACAGGTATTCTGAAGATGAGAAAAATTCCCTTTCGTTGGGATAAGCTTGAGGGGGTGACACATACATACCGTGAACAAAGATTTCAACTGAACTCCATAGATGAAGCCAAGGAGTTTTTGAGCAGACATAAATTAATTTCAGAACTAGGTGATGAAATAGAGATGGATAAGTCTTCAGAAGCAGACCAGCTTCGAAAAACGGACATTGAAGAACAGATGACTGAAGTGTCTATATAGGAATCTGATGTTTCATTTAAAGATAGAAAGTAAATTCATTACATGGAATATCAATGGGGCTAATGCACCCTCTAAGTATAAAAAAGTATTTCATCATTTGAGAAAACTTAATGCTGATATCTGTCTTCAAAAAACACATATTAAAAAACAAGATGACAAATACTAAAAAAATAAAAACTAGGGGAAGAATTTTTATCTGCTGGGGAAAAAAAAGATAAATGGAGTGGTTTTATACATAAACCCCCAATTTAAACCTAGGCTACTTTTATCAGATGAATATGGTAGATTTGTAATAGTGGAAATTGAATTTAATGGAATAAAATCAATAGTGATTGGCCTATATGTGCCAAGTGAGGGAAAAAGCAATATCTTATGGACCAACTCTTGCCTTTTTCATATGAAAATTGACTTATTCTGGGGGATTGGAATGAAGTGACTTCACCACTTTGGGATAGAACATCTACTAAAGGGATCAAACCATCCCAGGGCAAACTACCAAAGTCGTTTTTTGAAATGATGGACAATTTAATGCTAATAGACTCATGGAGGCATTAAAATGGCTCCACAAGAGAATATACCTATTTTTCAGAAAAGCACAAATCTTTCTCAAGGATTGATATGATACGGATCTCTAAAAACTTAGTAAATAGAATTTTGAAAGTTGACATCGTTTCTAAACATTTTTGTGACCATAAACCAGTTGTTTTGGTCCTTAGAAAAAAGAGTTTAAGTTATAGATGGAGATTAAATGAATCTATTTTACAAAAAGAGGCAACTGTAAAGGACTGTAAAAAGAAATAACATGAATATTTTGATAACAATTTATTATTTATTTATTTATTATTTATTATTTAAATTTATATACCGCCCTATCTCCCTTACGGGACTCAGGGCGGTGAACAGGCAATAATAAAACTCACAATAAATATTGAATAAAAAGCCTGCTCTAAAATACCCCATATAAAACCCCTAGCAAAGCCCAATCAAAACTACGCCAGGCTGGCCGCATGGAATAGATGGGTTTTCAAGGCTCGGCGGAAGAGGCGCAGGTCCGTAGTTGTACGTAGCTGCCACAGAGAAGGCTCTCCCCCTGGGGGTCACCAGCCGGCATTGACTGGCCGACGGCACCCTAAGGAGGCCCTCTCTGTGGGAGCGGACTGGTCGAAGGGAGATATTTGGTAGGAGGCGGTCTTGCAAATACCTAGGTCCATTGCCATGGAGCGCTTTAAAAGTTGTTACTAACACCTTGAAGCGCACCCGGAAGGCCACCGGCAGGTAAATTTACGTAAAGGACAGATCTAATAATGGTTTGGGATGCTAGTAAGGCAGTTATGAGGGGGTACTTTATACAATACAATCAGTTAGAGAAGAAAAAAGCCTTTGGAAAGGACCCAGAAGATACGTGATGCATATATTATAAACTAATAAAACTTTAGAAAGTTGGAAAAAATGTGAGTATTGGTTATAGGAGATTCAATTCTTAGGGGAACAGGGACTATAATATGCAGACCAGACAGTCAAACTAGGCAGTTATGTTGTCTCTGGAGCAAAAATCAAACATTTAACTTACTAAAATAATCAACCTCACTGATTACTACCCCTTTCTTTTACATGTGGGGATGATTGACACAACAAGGAATCTGAAAATAATAAAAGATTATGAACAGCTAGGGAAGAAAGTTAAAGATTTGGGAGCACAAGTGTGTTTTTATCTATACTTCAACAAAAGGCCAACATCCAATGAGGGAGCAAAGGATTTTAGAAATGAACCACTGGCTTAAAAACTGGTGTTGTCAAGAAAACTTCGGTTTCCTAGACCATGGTCTGTATTACCTACATGAAGGGCTCCTGGCAAGGGATGGATAGCACCTCATAAGACTGGAAAGAATATATATTTGGAAAATGACTGGCTCGTTTTATTAGAAGGGCTTTAAACTGAAAGTCAAGGAAACTATTGGTCCACTTATGGGAGAAGGTGGCAAAGATATAATGGACAGTAGAGAGAAAGCAGAATTGCTTAATTTATACTTAGCATCTGTCTTCACGCAAAAAGAAAAACACTATACAACTTACCAAAAACAGAATTATAAATGATAGTTTAAGGATGCAAATTAAAATATTCAAAAATAAAGTAAGAGAACATCTGTCAGCAATAGACGGATTCAAATCATCAGGTCCCGAGAGTCTACATCCCAGAGTTCTTATGGAACATGTGTCAGAACCCATATTGATTAAGGGGCTCTTTCTAATTCTATTCTTTCTATTCCTCTGGGTTTTGCCATGCTCCTGGATGGGAGGGGGGAAGATGCTGTGGGCTGCCTCTTTGTTTTCTCTATTGCTACAATGTAACTCTATCACTGTCTGCATACACACTCTTTGAACTGTCTTCCCCTTGATGTCAGCTGGAAGGGGGAAGAAAGGAATGCACTTCTGGGCATCTGGCTTATCTCCTGTTTCGGAAGGGAAGGTACAAAGACCCAACAAACACCACTACAAGCCTGAGACAGACTGGCATTATCAGCTCTTTTCCACAACGGACTTAACATTTGAACTGACCGGATGAACTATTGGGGTGGGATTTACTTGGGACTCTTTTAATCTATTGATCTGAGCGGGAAACCCTCAGATCCTGTCTATTATGCCTGAAATCAGCTTCTCCTAATAAAAGTTCCTTTTGGAAGAAACTGCTTCCATGAGTTCCACTTTCTTAGGATGAGGTTTTGAAGTAGGCCCCGACAACATGATTTCAGAACCATTGAAGCATATCTTCCAAAGTTCTTGGATTACTGGGGAACTACCTGTAGACTGGAAAAGAGCTGATGTGGTCCCATCTTCAAAAAAGGGAAAAAAACAGATTCAGGAAATTACAGACCAATCAATTTGACATCAATAACTGGGACGATCCTGCAAAATCTGCAAGCACTTAGAAACAACAAGGTTACAACCTTGACTTGATATTTTTTGTTGTGATGTATGTTGTACAGGTATTGTGAAATTTTCAAGTTAATCCTAGTTTATAATTGGCCTTTTCATGAATAACCTTCAGCATTTTTTTTCTTCCAGTAAAGCTGTGATGGATCTATTTGTAGACTTGTGCAGCCAGTACCACTTAAATCCAGCCCATTATACTTTTGAGTTGCAGTCTTGGGAGACCCAACAATCTTTGAGTTACAAGCCAAATACTTTGATAGGGACATTAGATGCAGAGAAGATACTTCTAAAATGGAAGGTTCCTGAAGAAAAAAAAATAAAGCGGCCTCCACCAAAGATTCCTGAGGTAAAAGCATTTACTTATGATCTATTTCTTGAATTATGTCCAGAAATAGAGAGGGGGATAGTCATCTCACTATGCTGGATGATTTTAGTATTGCTGATACAGACTTTTAATCCATCAAGTATCGCAAGGATAGGCATTATTGGCCAAATACATAAGGATCTAGTGATTCCACTGTACTGATTGAATTTACAGCTGGAGGTTCTTTTGGGTACATTTTTGAAAAAATGTATGGTTGCTTTATAAATTACATTCAGTTTAACATCTTAAATAATTTGATGTTTTTAAATAAGCAATATATGAATATTTATAATAATGAATGCATGAATTAACTAACTGAAGCAAACAAAAGCTTGTTGCTTGAACATCTAGGTCTGACTTAAAAGTGAGGAAACTAATTCAGGAATGGATCATATGAAATGTATAGTATAGTATATAGTTATACTATAACTGTAGTATAGTATACTAGGTAGTTCTCTGTTAACAACCACTTGTCCAGCAAATGTTCAAATTACAATGGCATTGAGTAGTGGTTACAAGTCCTCAAAATTCTGGCTGTCTCAGCATCCCCACAGTCACATGATCATAATCTGGGTGCTTAACAACTGGTTTACTCTTAGGACAATTGCAGTGTCCCATGGTGATGATTTGCAACCTTCCCTGCTGGCTTTCCATAAGCAAAATCAATCAATTCCCCTCTGTGCACCCTCCCTCAGGCCCTCTGGATTCCCGCTACTCCTCACTGGCCACCTGTACACCTTTGCATACTCCCTTGAGCCTCACTGCACTTGTCCATGCCTCTCCTACCACCCTTGCATTCTTGCTTGCCCTCTCTGAGCTTTGTTGCTCTCACACCATGCCTCACTCATGCAGCTCCTCAAACCTCATTATGCTCTTTATGTGCTTCCCATGACCTGCACACCGTTCTCACGATTCAGTGTGCTTATGCCATGTTCCACATCCCATGCATTTTGTGCATCCTCCCTGAGCTTCAATTCACTTGCGCTGTGTCTCCCCGTTAACTCGCACACCCTTCTCAGCCATTTGTATTCCTTTCCTGGCCAAATAAATTCTCCATGGTTCTAATTTGCAGGTTTTGAAACTAATTTATGAGGAAAGTTTCAGGGAATCAGGGGACCTTATAGCATGCATGCTTGTTTTCTAAGACAACTAAATCTGGTATTTTAGTAAATGTGATTTCTCTTCAATTACCTTTCTCTTCATTATTTTTTTCAGCATATGTATGAATATTGCACTTATGATTTCTGTTTATGCATATATCTATGCAGTTATAGTGTTAACGTGAAATGAATGTACAGTGTACATTTATTTTTTAGTTTTCTCATCCAGTTTAAATGATCTATTTTAATTCTATTTGAATTATATTAATGAATTGGTGTTTTTGAATTGCTTTTTCCTAGAAAACTGTGAGACTGGTAATAAATTATTTGAAGACACAAAAGACAGTAGTTCGAGTGAATCCTGAAGTTCCTCTTGAGAATATAATCCCAATCATTTGCGAAAAGTGTGAAGTTAGTCAAGAATGCATTGTTCTCTTAAGAGATAATTTCACTGGAGAAAAATTGGAATTGACAAAATCACTGAATGATCTAGGGATAAAGGAGCTTTATGCCTGGAACAAGAAAAATGGTAAGTCATAGTCTATGTTAAACTATTATAGGAAGCTACTGTATGTATTAATGCTTATAAATGGGGACGTCCATTTTGGAGGTGGCTAGTAGATCAGTAGAACTCGCTTTCAGTCTTTCTATGTGTTAAGTCCGGAGAATAATGGCGCTTGAGACGAAGCATTTCTAACAAGTCTTTATTCTCTGCTTCCATTCTACGAACAACCCGAGCAGAGGCACGCAGGCCTCCATTTATACCTTCAGATCCCCGGGCAAATTCAACCAATCACAATATGATCTTTTCCCGCCTTGCACATGCGTGCAAGGCCGGCGCCACTCAGTCTGGTCCTGGGCAGCTTCTGCAAATGCCCAGGACTCTTGCAACGTCCCGAGCCTGCCTTTTGCAGGCTCAGGACACAACACCCCTTCCCCCTGGATGAAATAAGATTGCGTCCACATGGACGCCATCCTAGTGATGGTAATATAATTAATAATGAGTTAATGTCACACAGTATATAAGGTGTGGGACTGTTCCTTTGAACCAGACCCAGTGGCCCCCAACCTTGTTTCCTTAAAGTCAACCAGCCTGGACCTTTGGTTCAGCTATTGCTATTTACCTGCTCACCTTACGTAATCGGCTAGGTATTTGGGAGGGCCTCTTACCCTGAGCGACCTTCTCGGACCTGGGGAGTTTGTATTGTTTTCCCCGTTGCTTCTTGCACTAGGTGAAGTGCCCTGTGGATGACTGGTGACTTCAGTTTGACTTTCCTGCCTGTCTCCTGTATTCGAGCAGTCAGGGCCCTGTTGATCGCTAAACCTGGTTGACCTACCCTCTATGGAGTTTTCTAACCCCTCTGAACTCATTCCCGTGTTTCCTGACGGAGTGCGGTTTTCCTGGCTCGTTTCTGTAGTGATAGGGTCTAGGGATGCCTCCCTGTTAGCCCTGATGCGTGAGGACATCCTTCTATGAGCCATTTCAGCAAGGGACATGTTCCCCCTTTGTTTTGCCTGCTCTCTTGCATGTTGTGAGTTGTGAGTATGCTCCCAGGTATTCTCTGTGTCTGGAGTATTGCTTGTTAGGGGTGGATAATTAGTCTGCCACCGGTGGGACTCCCAGGCTGGAGTGTGTGTGGGGGTGTCTGTGTACCCCCTTTCCCAAGAACTGCTACCTGAAGCACCTGTGGAGCTTGGGTGTTGAGTACCCAATTCACTCCCCACAGCCATCGTTGGCTGTTGAGTTTGATTCCCAGAATGCATTGCCCATTCCTCCTCCCCCCCTAGAGGAGACTGAGAAGGAACCATAGGCGAGTCCCGCCTCACACGTAGTTGATCAATGTGGCGGCGAAGCACGCGGCTGTCTGTCAGGGACACCTCGTAGGACAGAGGCCCCGAGACCTTGCAGACCACAGCCGGTACCCAGAGGTGGCCAGGCCCGTAATTCCTGGCCCAGACAGGATCACCTTCACGTAGGACCCGTGGTGGGTGTGGCTGAGACACCTGTGCAGCTACACGTTCTGGATACAGCCTGTCCAATTTAGTCACGAGCCGACGACCCCAACGGAGTTCGGCCGGGCACTTACCCGTGGCAGTGCACGGAGTAGTACGATGTGCCAGAAGAAAGTCAGCCAACCTGTGATGCCAGTTGCCGTAAGTCAGCTTCTTGAGGGCGTCCTTGGCGACGCGGACCATCCGTTCAGCCAGACCGTTGGTGGAAGGATGGAAGGGAGCCGAAGCAGCGTGGCGGATCATGTTGGTCTGAAGAAATCCCTGAAACTCAGTAGAAGTAAATTGAGGACCGTTATCTGACACTAGAACATCTGGCAACCCGTGTGCAGCAAAAATGTTTCTCAACACTTGAATAGTCTTGGCGGCTGTGGTAGAAGACACAGGCACGACCTCCAGCCATTTGGAATGGCTATCAACGACAACCAGGAAGAATTGACCCTGAAAGGGCCCAGCGTAATCTACATGTATTCTAGACCATGGAGTGTGTGTTTCCTCCCACCTGTGTACAGGGGCCTGGGGCATTTCAGGCCTGGACTGTTGGCAGGCATGACACCCATGGACTTGGGACTCGATGGCCCGGTCAATGCCAGCCCACCACAGATGGCTGCGTGCAAGCGCCTTCATCCTGACAATTCCAGGGTGGCCCTCATGTAATGAAATCAAGATTCTAGCCCTCAATGAGGCCGGGATCACAACTCTCGATCCCCAGAGGAGGCAGCCATTGAAAGTGGACAACTCGTGCCTCTTGACCCAAAAACGTTGAAAATCCTCCGCAGGGCACCTGTCAGGC